GGCGAGCGTAGGAAGGCGAAGGATAAGTTGTCAATATTAACACCAGTCTGAATGAAAGCCTTTTTTATGTGCTTTAACGTGGATGTCGGATCCCACTGTTCTCCCAGAGCTTTATTTATTGAGGAGAGGTAAGGAAATGATCTGATATGGCTTGTATTTGTGCGGGATAACGAGAGGTCGAGGCGAGAGGGAATTTAGGGAACTTGAAACCCCTCGTTTTTAATTTTCCAAACAATTTAGGATTATTTTGTCTCGTTTGTTACTCTTCTCTCTTTTTGGATTCTAATGACGTGGTATTATGTAACTGACAAGGGTATTTCTTCCATTCAGGACTTAAATACGGATTGTTTTAGAATACACATCAATGGTAATTGAGATTGTTTATTTATTTTATTTATTTTTAGTTTATCCTGTGTGGTCTTGATGTGTAGATTTATTAGCGAATTTTGCGAGCGGGTAAAGGACTACAATGGTCTTATTTGTGGCAGTCCTGTTCATTTATCAGTAGAATTAACTCTTGAATTAGAACAAAATAGTTCCAATGCTTTCAGGTGAATATTTCTGTATTATTGTCTGGGTAATTTTCTGAAATGATAAAAAAGGAATAGTTTTAGTTCCACACAGCTTTCAGTTAGAAGGGAAATTTTTACATTTATTGGACGTAATGAAAATAAGAAACATTTCTTAACCTCCGCAACTTGATAATAACAAGTTATGAGGAATGTGAGAGTAATAGTAAGTATCACTTTTACATATCCATTTGGTACAAAGTAAATTTTGCTTGTAATATGAGCAAAACAACAAAACTTTATGATTATCATTACATTTTTATTGTGGCTGTTTTCCTATTCATGTTTGTGTATGTTTCCATGTTTGGGATTGTTTACACTTACTTTTACGTAATGACAACACTAAATTCGAGAAAATCTACTTGCATTGTTTTAGAGGGAAAAGAAAATCTTGCCGATTGATTAAATAATTTGTGGAGACAAGGAATAATGTCAAAAGTGTAGAAAATAAACAAATGCTACATGCCATCTTTTCCATTGGTTACTGCGAACACGACACCTCTCACGCGACAGGAATCGAGTAGGTGGTAAACATTCATCGAGTTGCCAGGTGCATTCTTCATACTTCGGATATCTCGTGCATAATCATACTTTATATTTTATACCTATAACAAATAAGATCCAAAAGCCATCTAGGATATTATATTTCAAAATACTGGTCCAGAATATTTGTACTTATTGGTCCAGAATATACGTATTGGAGCTTATTGGTGTTTGCCAGAGTTTGCCAGGCTGTGATATTTCTTGCTGCAGTCGTGTTCTGGATGATTATTTTGATTTTTGTTATGTATGTATTCCTTGACTGATGGCTTTATTTCTCCTTTTTCTAGTTAAATGCCAGACACAATGTGGCATGAGGCGAGAAAGCAGGAACGAAAGATCAGGGGGATGCTGGTGGACTATAAACGTCGAGCAGAGAGAAGACGAGAATATTATGAAAAAATTGTAAGTGCAGTGCTAAGGGCCTTCTTTTTTTAAATTATGTGTGCATGTGTGTTTTTGTGCATTCTTGTGTGTGCGTGTGAATGCATGTGTGTGTGCGTTTGAATGCATGTGTGTGTGTGTGTTCGTACATGTGTGTGGTTGTTGTGTTGGTTTGATGGTGGGAAGGGGTAGTACTTTACACAACTTCATGTAAATGTTTTCTTTTTCTTTTTTTCTTGTTCCTTTCTTTATCATTGTAGATGGTAATTGTTATTTTCTTGTTTCATTTCTCTGTCTTTTTAAATTGTAATTGTAAGTTTGATGTCTAGTTCTGGCAGTATACCCTTTATGCATATTTATGTTCAATTTATTTTTTTATATCTTTTTAAACTTGTATTGTTTATATAAGCTGTTACTGAGGAGTGGCACTAAGATTTTCTGTCCTTTCCCACCCCATAACAGAAACAAGATCCTACTCAGTTCATCCAGATCCATGGCCGACCTGTCAAAATCCACCTCGACCCTGCAGTTGCATATGCAGCAGAAGCGCCTGGGAGCATGTGAGTTGACTCATAGGGCTTTATTGATTCTTGCATGGAGTAAATGATATGGTTCATTGTCCTTTCTTAGTAAAATGAGAAGGATAATTTTGGTAAGAATAAAGATAGTAGCAATGATATTGGTTAGACGATATTGATATTGATACTAGCAATCAATCAATTATTATTATTATATATATTTTTTAAATGAAAATAGAGGCTAGGAATTTATTTAAAGTGTGTAGATGAGATATATGAATATTGCTGACTATAGAACCACATCTGAAATACAACCTATAAGATCTTATAAAGAAAGGATTCTTGTAAATAAATAGTATTGGAATATGTATTTTAGGATGCCATGGAGAGGAGACTCTGACTCCATGATTGATCGCTTCGATGTGCGAGCCCATTTGGACACCTTGCCTGCAGTGTCTACAGGATCCCCAAAGCTCACCCCAGAGGAGGACTGGGAGGAACGGCAGGCAAACTATGAGCGCTACCGCATTCTCATTCAAAATGACTTCTTGGCCAGTGAGTGTTTTACACATTACTTCAATCTGTATTTAGAGTTTGGTACAGCCTTCCTGTCTTGATTTTCACATTAGCGTTCATCCTTGAGGAGTTGCTCATAAATCTTAATGTTCATTTTTTCCACAACAGTTCGAGAAGAGAAGTTCTTACACCAGATTCGCCTGGAGGAACAGTTTGGTCCAATTGTCAACAAATCAATTGAAGAAGAGAAGAAGGCCTTAGCCCCCAAGAAGGCAGCCATTGCTTTCACCTACACAGAGGATGCTGAGCCAGAGGAGGAAGAGAGGCCTAGCTCCACCAATGTAGATGCTGCAATGGCGGACGCAGAGGAAGCCATTGCAGAAGGGAGTGAGGAGGACAGTGACAGTGACATCGATCTTGGTAAGGATATTTTCTGTCTTTAGAATTAATCTTAGTAATCTTTTTGAATGTCAAGTTCTGCCAATATGTACAAGATACTAAGGGGTCATATTATAAGTCTGTAATGTGAGAGTGGGAGTTAGCAGATATGGTAATTCTAATTTTCTGGTAAGTTCAGTATTCTGTGACAGTTGTAGGTATGTTCTATAAAACCCCTCAAAAAACACTTTAAACCAACAAGAAGTTTAAATGCGTATTAAAAGCAGAATAAGTTAGGGCACAAACTTTTTTCAATCATGGTGTTATTTTCACAATATATATTGGATATATATGTTTTTATTTAAATTATAGGGGACAGCATTGATCTCCTAAGATTTAACTAGCGCTACATGTCACCGCTCCACTATTTCCTTATAACTTCTATGTGGAACTATAGAATAATTTTTTATACACAAATCTGTTAGGTAAAATAGTATAAAGCAGATTTTGATGTGTAGTATTTTGTTCTTAATTTTAATTTCAAACCTTGTAGAGTATATACATGCAACATTCTGATATTCAAATGCAATTTCCTTCTCCTTTCTCCCAGATCTGACAGTGGATGTCATGTCACTGTCAAATACCCAGCAACAGGAAATGAACCTGTCTGGAGTAGAATATGGGCTTAATCCAGAGGACTTCATGTCACTGATCAGCCGTGACCTGCAGGAGGCAGAGGAACTCAGGGTGGCAAAAGAACACGAAGATGAGAAGGCCATGTATTCGGTAAGTGGAATTTTTGTGCACAGATTGCTGACTGTAAGAAAATTTAGTTAATTTATATTATATTTTTATCTATTGATATATACTATCTAGTTGTAAATCCTTCAAGGTTTACTGTATGAATTTTGTCATTAAGCAGAATATTTAATGAGTGATAGTGATGGCAAAAGTAATAGTAAGAGAGATAGAGGGAGAGAGGTCGGGGGGGGGGGCATAGGTGTATGTATGTATGTAAAGTTCCGTAATTATATTTCAGTACACTTGTTGGGTCCCACTTTTGCACATCTGGCAATCGCTTTGAAGTAAACATATAATAAATAGTATTTTTATGAATGAGACAAAAACCCTAGGTATATGTATTATTAGTTATTGTTGAGTTTGCAGATGCATATTTCTTGGAACACAAAAGAGTTTCATGCTTTCATCTATGTATGGCAACTAAATCAAATGAAAATCTCTGTAAAATCACTGAAACCTTTGTAAATACTTATTGTAGCTACACCATCTAGTAGCAGTTAATTGAACTAATGAAGCTTTTGAGTTTTTTTTCTTTTTGCCAGAATTCATTCAATAAACAGAAACCATGCTACATAAAATTCTTCATTGTAGAACATAAACTGAACACAAAACCAGTGAGGCCACAGGGAATATCTTTGTGTGTGTGTGTGTGTGTGTTGTGTGTGTGTGTGTGTGTGTGTGTGTGTGTGTGTGTGTGTGTGTGTGTGTGTGTGTGTGTGTGTGTGTGTGTGTGTGTGTGTGTGTGTGTGTGTGTGTGTGTGTGTGTGTGTGTGTGTGTGTGTGTGTGTGTGTGTGTGTGTGTGTGTGTGTGTGTGTGTGTGTGTGTGTGTGTGTGTGTGTGTGTGTGTGGTGTGTGTGTGTGTGTGTGTGTGTGTGTGTGTGTGTGTGTGTGTGTGTGTGTGTGTGTGTGTGTGTGTGTGTGTGTGTGTGTGTGTGTGTGTGTGTGTGTGTGTGTGTGTGTGTGTGTGTGTGAAATAGCAAGCTTTTATTCTGCATTTTGAAGCATAATTTGATATGACAGAATTATTTCTGCAAAATCAAACCATAAGAAAAGTATATTAAAATTAAGATGCTTTCAACTTGAAGAAAGTTGGCTTTGATCTGATAGCTAGTGCTTGCTGTGGTGCAACAGTATTGTTTTAAGGACTCCAGCTATTGTCGATTGCTTAACGGCCACACAACGCTGGGGAGTGGTAGTTCTGCAAGCAGCAGTATTTTATGCAATTTGCACAGTTGCTCATTTAGCCATACACCAATTGAACCTAACAGCATCCTGTATGAATTGTTGGTTTATCTTTATATTACAGGGCAGAAAGTCTCGAAAGGAGAGGCGTGCCCTGAAAAAGAAACACATGGACAGGAAATTCAGTCCACCAAGGTTAGTAGTTTTTGTTGTTATTTTTAGTTTGTGTCCATTTGGGTGACTTGGCTATTTTTCTGAATTAAGTTCTGCCAATATGATTAATGTGCACTGCTGTCAAGTTTACTTCATTATCTCACCCTTGAGTACTGCATATCTTCTATGAAATATAATTAATGATGCTTAAAATTACTTCTGAGGAGTTTCTGATGCTGATGTTCTATCTTTTATGCAGTTATGCTGCCCGTGCAAGCCCAACCTATGCACCATACAGGCGTTCCTCCTCCCGCTCCAAATCCCGATCAGCCACACCCCCTGCTGCTGGCACCATAAAGTTCATCACGAGCTTTGGGGGGGATTCAGAAGGGGCAGGCTCAGATGACGAGGGGGTCACTGGTGTTATCATTCTGCCCAAGGGAGAGCGGTCAAACAGGGACCGCAGAAAGAACCGCTGGGATCAAAAGTCTCGGGAGAGTGGGGCATCAGGCCATCATGCAAGCGGCGCAGGGAGCGGGGGCAGCCATCATGCAGCCGGCACCAGCCACTCCTCCTCCTCCTCCTCCTCAAAGAAACGGCGCCACTCACCTCGCAGCCGGTCGGTAACTCCTCCACCCGGTGGCTAAAACACCCTGGCGTGGCCCCCCCTTCTTTTGTCTCTCCAGCCATGTGTCCTGACATAGGGTCCTGCCGGCTGTAGTTCTTGGTCGACATATCTTACTCTGCCAAGTTGCTCTTTGGCTGAGGCTGCATGGGAAACTTATTGAGTCAGTTTAAAGCTGTGGTTAAAAAAAAAAAAGTATTTATACGCTCAAGCCCCTTATAAAGGTATCGAACCTGGAAAGGCAACCTAAGTCACTAAACTGGCAACAAGAGCTCCATGTGTATCCAAGGTTGCTATAATAGGAAACAGGTTGGTTGTTGGGGCATTGGATCAGGAAACCATATTTTAATGCAGAAAACGATAAGTTTCACAAAGGGTTCATAAACTTGAGTGAACAGAGCTTGGTCAAATGAGAACGGGAAAACAGATCTTGAATTAGTGCTCAGAAATCTGCACCATCTTATTAGTGGTAAGTAGAGTGGGGGCATTGCATACAGACAGCATTTATGTGTGTTATGTGAAAGTCAGATTATTTGTTTTATTTTGTATTTTATTTATTTTGTCAATAGGAGAGGCATGATAGCTTCCAAAGTAAACAAATAATTATGTTGTCTTGATGTGATTGGGGAAAATAAGGAGTGTAGTCTGGAAGGATAACAGTGCATGCTAAAACAAATATGTAGTAGGAATTTAAAACTAAGAGTTTCGCTATAATGTACTTTTTTCATTTTATAACTTTATTTTAGTCTTATAGTTATCAGTTATTAACCCATTGATGCTGAGAGGGCATGTGTGCATGCCCTTTCCACTGTGATTTTAGATTATGTTTGCATATAGATGTTTCTGCAAGTGTGTAATCACCAAGGAGTCAAGTTACTCAGCTTACCCAATCTCACTTATCTACCCTCTCTCTTGCCTTACTTTAAAGGAAATATTATGTTATTTTTAATGTTATTAATATTGATAACATTATAGTAATGTTAATGTTAATAGCAATAAAATTGTTAGTAATGAAAATGATAGTATTAGAAATGAAAACTTTTTTCCCTAAATATTCAAGGAATGGGATACACAGATGAAATCATCAAGGTCTAGTAATGGACTCTTTGGTAACTAAGTGCTTGTAAACCCATCTGTTAGTAAACAAAATTGATAAAAAACTACAGTGGACAGTGCCTGTATGTAGCACCAATGGGATAAAAGCAAAATCTATTAGGGATTTCATATGATATTATTGTTCACTGTTTCCCCCACTTGTAAAAACACACATACCTACCTATTGTATGCCTTTGTATACACTGTTATTTTGGATCTTCAAGAGCCTTCAGAGTTGAAAAATGAAACTCGGGGATCTTACAAAAGCACCACTTTCCTGTTAACTGTTATTTACCTATCTACAGCTTTTAACAGTCACAAATCTAACGCACCCATCTGCAATTGCAACAGGTCACGATCTCGGAGCAGCTCCTGCAACCAGTCACGACGACGTCACAGGTCTCGTCACTCAAGTTCTCGATCCCGTCACTCAAGGTCAAGGTCTCGCACAAGAAGGTCCAGGCACACGCGCTCAGACAGTAGATCAAGGTCAAGATCAAGATCAAGAGATAGGTGAGTGCAGGATTTCTATTGCACATTTGTTTGATTTCCTTTAACCCATTAGTGATGTTGGACTTAAAATGAAAGTATTGACATTGTAAATATCAGTTTCTTAGTAAATGAAAATTAGCAGTAGAGTATTCAAAATTAATATTATGTTGATTTTATATCTATTAGCATTATTAGCAAGTGTTACGGTAATGATTGTGGTTTTGATTTTGAGATACTGTATATTTGTTACTGTAACATGTAATTTTCTGCAAACAGGCATTCAAGTTGGAGGAAAAATCGGTCTTCACATAAACGCTCTTATAGCCGGTCAAAGTCCCGTTCTAGGTCAAAGAGCACGTGTAAACCAAGTCCATCTCCCCCTCCTCCCAAAGTATGTGTTAGATATGAATTTGTAAATGTTTTTATGCATTTATTTATCCATCTGTATCTAAGCCTGTTTGAGTTAAATGCTCAAGATATTATATCCCATTACAGGTAACTGAAACCACTGTACCTGTTGCACCAGTTCAAAAAGCAGTACTTGGGGGTTCTCCCTCCCCTCCTGCCAAGATGCCTTCCCCCCCTCGCCGCCGTTACTATGGGCGCAGGGGCCAGGACAGTGGCTCTGAATCTCCCTCAGAGTCTGAGTCAGAGGACATTTCAAGTAGCAGTAACAATACAGCACAGTTGGCAGCTCCATCTTCAGTGAAAAATAACAGTTTGTAAGTCTTGAGAGATGAGTGTTTCATTATGAATAAGAGGTCAGTGGATGCATGGGGGAATGTTGGTGAAGCACATTCTTCCATGATTTATGAAATTAATTCAGTGTTTTGTTGATCAAATATTTCTCTTTCAGGGTGCCCTCTACATCTGTGGGTAATGGGTCCTCTGCCGCCAAAGTCAGTAAGAATCTGTTATTGTTGTATATGTTACCTTTGTAGTCACTCACACCTTCATGTCTTGCCACACATTTTATAACTTTTACTCATCCTTTGGATTTGTGTTTCTATGGTCATGCCTTCTACAAGGTGCCATTTATATATATATCCAGAGTAATAAGTGATATATATGTATACATATATATTTATGTGTATATATATTTGTGTCAGTCTCCTCTTGCGGTGAAATTCAGAATCATAGTTACACACCAATAGTTTAAGTTTAATGCTTTTTTCTGTTTCCAGGGACATAATCATTGCATCAGCTTGATTTCCCTTTACATTGAGCTTCCTTGTTTATTATGATGAGAATCATATTTAGATAAAATTTTGTTTTGTTTATTTTAAAGAAATTTCTTATGCTTTGAAGACCACAGACATGGTAAAATAGCTTACCTCAAACATGAAGTCTAGCAGTATTAGTTATACCACTTTAATGATTCTAAATTTTGTAAGGCCTGGTTTAAAGGCAAGGACACTATTCTTTGGAACAGTAATGTACGTATATATCATTATGACAAAAACAAAATTTGTAAAAAATCTGATGTTTGTAAAGTACATTGCCAATCACACCTCCAAGTTTATACCAATTTTCGTAATACAATTAATTCTTTTAATTTGGGCAATTACTGGTATATTGTCTGTACTCCATTCCATATTTTAAAAGCTGTATTTCAATAGTTGTTTCTTTCTCAGATATTTAAAAGTTTGATATTTTTTCATTTATGCCTCATGGACAATTTTCTCCTATTTGTTGAATAAGGGGAGTTTAAGAGAATGTGTGGGGCACATAAACAAAAATAAAGTTAATGGTAGCATCTTGAATACAGTCAGTCATTGAAATGAGAAACCGAATCACAAACTGGGGACAGAAATAGATGTTTAGGTGTAATATATTCAATTTATATGTTTGTGTAGTGCACAGTAAATTGTGGTTGAATAAGACATTAGATTTGTTTCAGGCTATGTACTTTGAAATATAGTAAAAACAATGTTATATTTTTGTTTTTTGGTTCCAAAAAATTAGAAAGTATTGTTGAAAGTGGTTATGTCATATCCGTATGATATGAGAAGCTTGTATACATATTTTACTAGTGTCAGAGTTTAGATGAAGTGGGATTAAAAAAAAAAAAAAAAAAAATGATTTATACATGAAAAGCCTAAACATTTTCACAGATTAAACAGAAGCACTGCTTTTTTTTTAAACAAGCAAATGTATATTTCTGTTGAAATGCAGGACACAAAGTATTGGCATCTTTCACTAATAATGCCCCTTAAACCAGATCAAAACTCAAAGGCTAACACTAACATTTATAGGTGCAAAGTTTTTATTTTTGATTTAATTTTTATTCAAATGTTATTTTAAAGTTTTTACCCTTGTGCTTTTCACAATTTTGTATTATGAATTACCACTTGTTTCTCAATTCTAAGTTAATTCTTTTTTCAGGTGGGGGCCAAGTTGACACCACAAGAGAGACTGAAAAAGAAAATGCAAGCTCTCTTAAAGAAGCAGTGTGAGTACACAGTTACAGTGCCATATGCTTTTTACTTTTCATTCGGGTTATGATTAAGAGCTTGCAAAACATTTATGATTTATAGAGTTCATTAGTTTTTTGTTTTGTTTTGAAAAATAATGTTATTACTCTAAGTAACAGGAGAAAGTTTTGATGTGAAATATGAATATTATATAGCTCACTATGAAGTTAATGTGAAGAAATACAGGTTTTGAGAAAGAGCAATCTGACTTGAGAGACTGCAACAGGTAACAAAGTCTTTGTGTTGGAAAAGTTACATATTTTCTGTATAGTTTTTGTTTCTCTTGTGAATATTATTGTTTAATGGTTGATGAAAGACACAACACCAATGATATGTGATATTATTTAAATTTGGCGAGGAACAACACCAGTGATATGTGATATTATTAAAATTTTGTGAGGATTTTCATACACTTGTATATATTATCATGAACATGTTTGTATTAATACTTTGGTTTAACAGTCAAGGCGGATAAGCGGATAGAGCGAGAACGTGCAGAGAAAGCTGAACAGGAACGTCTAGACAGAGAAGAGGAGCTCCGAGAAATGGCTATTAGATTGAGGCGGAGGTTAGTTCTTTTCATGCTTTGTAAATAATATTGGTTGTGTAATTCTACATATATTTTATTTATATTTTTTTCTACACTTTTCTTTCCATTCTTCCTTCCTATCCCCCACCTTTTCCTTTAATTCCCCCCCCCCTTCCTATTTCATTTCTTGCATTCTTTCTTGTATTCGTCTATATGCTAATGAAAATAATCCCTTTCTCCTCTTCCTCCAGAGAGCGGGAGAAGCGCCACCGCCTCCAAGGAGATGATTCGAGTTCAGATGGATCGAGGTCACGCTCTGGATCAGGTTCCAGGTCAGGGTCGCGGTCTAGATCAAGATCCAAATCCAGGCAGAGATCACGGTCACGGCAAAGATCAAGATCACGGCATAGATCAAAATCACGGCAGAGGTCAAGGTCTCGACACAGGTCAAACTCCCGCTCAAAATCCCCAGTGCATTCGAAGCAGGTTGGTATTATACTTTTTCGGTATTTCTCATGGATTGTTTTAATGTTATTTTTTTGGTGAGTTTGTTGGTGTATTGTTAGTAAGGTTAATTCTATTTTAATAAATGTTACTGATTTATTAATGGCTTGAGCAGATTCATAGTAAAGTTTTGTTACCAATAGATGCCATCAGGAAGGTGGGCCAGTATGGAGGCAGGAAGGGGGAGAGACCGCAACTCAGGCCCTGATTGGGGTCGGGATACTCAGAACAGGCCTTGGGATTCTTCCAACTCCTCCTCACAATGGGGGTCCCAGCCTCCCTCAGATCGATATCGGGAGACTTATAGGAGAAGATCTAGAAGTCCTGCAGGTCGCTGGTGAGTTGAAATATGCTTGATTTGAATGTAAACATGTTGATGCCAGAAGTGAATGTATACATGCACTGTCCTCATTGATGTCCGTTTATTGCTTTTTATGTATTGATATCTCTTGAAGTGCATAGTCACAAATAAGTTAGTCACAAGGTCTACCTGTCCCACTTGATTACCCCATTTCTTGAATTTTTGGAAAGAGCAGTTTTTTTTATTCTTATTTTTGTTTTATGTCATGAACTTCCAAGCAGTGGATGCCTTTCCTAACCTTGGTCCCTAGTTAGATGACCAATCCTTTTGGTCCCAGAGCCATGTTGGCCGCTTCTTTATTCTTATGAATCTCATTATTAATGTGGTAATTATGATAACATTGATGATAATAATAACTAATAATAAGTAAATGTTTTATCCTGAATATCCAAGAAACGAATAAATAGTTGAAGTTAGGTAAGTCTAGCGATAGATTCCACGGTGACTAAGCCCTTGTGAGGCCATGTATGGATAAACAAAATTATCAAAGTAAAATGACAGTAGACTGTGCATGTATCAGGCATCAATGGTTAAAATCTTTTGGGGATAGGATATCCCCAAAAGATCATGTAGTATTACTAGTATAATTTTTCTGTTTTCCTTAAGATACTTAAATGTTTCATTGATTTCATGAACTTGTATAGTATGATGAACAGTTGTTGCCCTGTTTCATAAATTTCCTGACCTTGTATGATATAATAAACAGTTCTTGCCAATGATTTGGAAATGCTTCTTGCCTACAGGGAAAGAGACCGAGACAGAGACAGAGATAGAGATAGAGACAGAGAAAGAGACAGAGACAGAGACCGTGAGAGGGAGCACCATGGAGGCAACAAACACAGCCGCAGTAGGAGTCGCGGAAGGGATTACAATAGTGGCAATGGAACCCCAGGAGGAGGGGGATTCAGGAGGAAAGGCTTCCGAGACCATGACCGGGACCGTGATTGGGACAGGCAAGATAGGGATTACCACCGCAACGAAAACTTTAGAGATTACAATCATGGTTATGCACGTGACTACCAGCATAAGAGCTATAATCACAGAGATAATCAACAGCGTGACAATCAACACAGAGATTACCACCAGCAGCAGTACCAACATCGGGACTACAACCAGCACACAAACAGACGGCAACAGTCCAAGCAGAATGAAAGTCAGGACGAGGATAGGTAATGATCTTCGTGTTATGATATCAGTTATTGTTAGTAGATGGCAAGTCTTTGATCCTTTTCTTGTTTTCTGTCTCTTCTCTGCTAATCCAGCCAGCTGTTACTACCATAATCATATTTTTAACAGGTAGTTCACCTGTTTGTAAGTCTTCTCAGGCTAGCTCTTCATGTCCTTTTATTTATCTTTTTTCAAGGTGCTGTATTTAGAACTATTTTATTCCCCCAGGTTTGATGCCCACCTTCTAAACAACTTTTCCCTATATTGTTTGTTTTTCTATTCCTACATCTAGTGTTTTGATATTAACCCCACTGGACTACTACAACAATTACTGCATGTTTACATGACTACATTCCACTAATACTGGATTTTCTCTATTGTTGTTTACATTTCCATAGATAATACTTAAATTGAACTAGAAATATTTCTGCAAACCTCAGTGTGATATGTCTTCTCTATATTTACAGTTGTTCTTTTATTTTTGTTTTACTATAATAACACATGGAATGAGCACTACATATTCCATGTGGTTATATATAAACCCTTTCAGGTTTTGGTCACTTGCTATGTGTACCTCAAATTCACCAAAACTTGTATTTTTGTGGCTGCATTGTAAGTGCATAAACTAATCTTTATGATTACTTTTTCCGAAAATTTTTCCTGTGGCATTATCTGAAAGGGTTGATCCTTTGCTGTACTTGTGGAGTCATCCATGTTTAAACAATATTCAGAAAACAAAACTGCAGTGGGAATTACATGTTTCTGGTAGTACTGGGTTAACATTGGTGGTCTTTTTTGCATTCTCACTTCTGATAGTTGGTGAAAAGAATCTTTTCCCTCTTTCTTTTCTCAGTTGAACTTTTTTTTGGTTTTCATGTATTTGACTCATGCTATTTCTTTGCTTGTAGCGTAGATTAAACTTAGTAACACTTTTTTATTTATCATTACAGAGAAGCTGGAGGAAGAATTGGCAGAATCAGATTAGTAGATTATTGATGAACAATCTCTGGGCTTTTGTAAGCTGAAGAGTCTATATTGAACACACAAGGACCAGGAAAAATTACATAGGTATCAACATACCTGTGAGTCTTCCCCACCCCAAACCAACCCATTTCCCCCTCCCTCCCCTTTCCTCACAAAAAAATGAAAAAGGAAAGAAAACACAAATATATGCATGTATGTTTGTGACCTTGCTACCGGCGGAATTTGTATTTTTGTATTATTTCTGTAATGAATAAGAAATGTTCAATAAAATGAAATAGAATTATACGTTTGTATGGTGATAAAATACTCGTCTTGTGACATTGCTTACCCCAGTTGCTTCAGTGGAGAAAGTAAGTTTATAGCAGAAATTGAGCAGGTGTGAGTTTTGTAGCATGATTTTCTCATCAAAGTACATTCTGTGGAGTAAACTGAGCCTGTTCAAGATGTGATGTGACTATGTTTCTGTGCATATGTTGTTGAGAATATGGAATCACTGTATTCTGATAGGAATTTGCTAGTGTTTTGTTAAATGCACATATTCCTGTGTTTTCTGTTTTACTTGTGATTTTAGTAAGCCATGCAGTCTAAACAATATTATCTATTTTTATTGCACATGTAACTCCAATGCTTTGCCAAGTATTTGTAAAAGAAAACTTTCTACATTGTTTCATTTTAATTATGTGTGAAGCCTTCCAGTGAGTTAAGGAAGAACAGTTAGTTATTCTGTATATGTATGTAAATACTTGTAGTATAATGTGTATTATAATTGATGGATTCTGTATGTATATATATCATTTCACCAGCCATGATAAACACTCCAGCTGATGGAAATGATAAGTGTGACTTTTTGAAATCTGTCTTGTAATTATACTGTCTGTTCTTAGGGTAACTGTTTTGAATCTATAAGTTTTGTCATTGATTTAGCTATGTTTGTGCCTGATAATAAAGTATATTTACTAAATGCATTACCAAATCTAAGGTCATTTTTTATCAGTATTATTGTTGATAATAATTTGATATTTTCCTCATTATTAGTACAATTTTATTTATTTTTTTATTGATGAAGAATGAACTATGAATAATTGTTAGCATTGTGGTTGATATTATTATTGTTGTTATTTTTATTAGTTCTCATCATTAATGCAAATTATAGTTTGTTTGTTTTTCCAAAATATAACCTGTAGTGAAGTTTGACAGAAGCAGTGGAAGAATGGTTTACTGAAACTATGAAGAGCTTGGGTTTCTCATTTTTTCTTCGCCCATTTACATCAACAGTTCATAGTCCGTGTGTTGTTTAGTTCCGTTCCTTCATTTTATCCTGTAGTTTTGGTCACAGAGAGAGAGAACCATGATTCGAATGAAATTACCCTTCTCTCCTTTTTAAAGTAATTGATAGTATTCCCCATCCCCACTATCATTTGGTTGTGAAAACTCAAATGTTGTTTGAAAGTGTGGACTTGTATAGTGTGATGTAGATAGCCCTCAAGAAGTATTCGATGTTGATGTTACGGCAGTCCCTGTAGAGATTTCCTATGCAGCACGATGGATCATCCCTTGCAAAGTTTCCCTGCTATCCTTTTGAACTTTTTTTTTTTTTTTTTTTTCCCTTTTTCTCCTCTTTTTATACTCCTTGTTCCTTCTATCAGATTTTTTTATGCTGATAAAAAAAAAAAGTCCAGATAAGTTAGCTTGTTTGGCTGTTGCAGCTGTTTTCATGTCGTGTATAT